GGTCCCAAGTTGAGTCGTTGACATAAATATGTAATTTATGTGATTGTATCAGTGTTGACCAACTATCAATTGCTAATGTTTTAGTCATTGTCCATGGTTGGTTTAGTGTATTTCTACTGGGCTGTGGCTCACCCTATATGGGAATATCATTTTCAGGTACAGGAGGCATGCCACCTCCAAGGACATAGCTGGGAGGCTAGTGGCGGGCATAGTTTTGTCGTTTTACTTTTGATGTATTACATGTAATTTCAAGCCAAGGGCTTAATGTGTAAACGAGTTTGAACTCTTTGTTGTAACCAAGTGTTAACTTGGAAAGCTGTAAGCCCGTAGGGCATTTTGTTATGAGGTTAACATGTAATACTTATGTCTTGGAATTCTAATGAATGAAAGGAATGCGGTTAGTTTAAATGTAAATGCATGTCTTATCTGATGGGTTTATTGTTATTATTTTGAGGGCGTTACATGAGGTGTCTTGTGAGGTTTAAACCAGTGATATAACAAAATAAGAGTTTTAGAATTCCCTTCTAATCTAAAAATGACTAGTTGTTGGAAGCGATATTAAGAACACTCTTGGACATTCACGAACAATACCTTTCAACAAAGGGCTATTTGTTGGTACTCTCATTTTAGATGATTAAACCACTAATAATTTGATTTCCATTTTTTACTTGTGTTCAGAATCAAGTAAAGACTGTTATTTTTTTGCTTAATAAGACAACACTCAAGTGGTATATAATTGTGTAAGTTTTTCAATCAGTAAAATCCTTTTCATTTTATTGATTCAATTATTTATTAATAAGAGAATGAAAGTGCTTTTGCCTATGTAAGTTTTCTTCATTGATTCATGGTGTTGTGGCGAACATGTCAGTTGTGTTTGGATTTGAGATTCGTGGATGAAAAAAAAAGTTAAAATTTGCAAAAAAAAAAAATTACTTTTATTTCATTCACCCATGTTTTCTTTCCACCAATATCGAAACATGGAGTAAGAGTTTGTTCTTTATAGTGTTTACTCTCTTCGTATTATTCTGTTGTGCAGATTTAAGTTACGTTGTTACTTTTTAGAATCTATTTGTTGTCTAGTGCAGGTTTTAATTGTTGATCTTTTCTGTGTGGTTAATGATTGGTGGTTGCTAAAAGCAATGAAAATTGAGCACATTTTAGGTTTGTAGCAAGCTATTTTATTGCCTTCAAGAAGGTGCTTCGATTTCTTTTCTATTTTTCCTCTCTCAAAATCTTCTTTATTTTTTTTGTATTGTTTTGTTTTTTTGGAAGGAACCTTGGAAAATCATTTAAGCACTCAACAATGTTAATTCCCTTTCCTCCTTTGGGTACACCTTAGTGTATATGTTAACAAATCTTGTATATTGCTTCAATTCTTCATTGAATTTAGAATCACACAAATAAGTTCTTTTTTTATCTGCCACAAATATTATTTATTCTAAAATAGTTCAAATTTATATCTTTCAGCTTCATGCTTCATATTTCAAAGTGTGCTTAGTGAGGAGACAACACCAAAGGAAGAAAATTGTCCCTAATAAGAAAGCACGTCCACTTTGAAAGGTTTGTGAGAGGGAAAGGAAAAGCAGGTTTTGTGTCAATAGTTCTTAGAAGAGAGGGAAAGGCCAGCAGTGGTTTGCTCAATCCACATGCATTATTTGGTAAAAGCACTCCAACCCAGTTGCCTCCTTGAAATGGTTTTTTAACCACGAATTTCTCTTTTTCAAAACAATGCTCCCCACCAAATCCCCCTTCTTGGGTTGGAGCAACACAACAATGAGTAGTTTCTTTAAAGACGCCAACCTGTCGAGAGTACAATGCTAGCCAAGATGGAGCTAGGAACTAGTGTATACTTTCTTGGGGCTTGCCTTGCTTCATCATTTATAAATCAGGCTAGCATCAGAAAAGAAACCAACCCAACCTCTCTAGCTTTCTAAATAAGCACAATACAATATGATGCTCATTTGATACTCCATAGGATCACATGACAACACTATTGTAATCTAATTATTATTACTATTTTTTGTTTTCATTAATTTATTCTCATTAAATTTTTTAATACGAATAGAAAAAATGGTATTGTTAAAGAAAATATTGAAGCAATGTTTTATTGATGCTTCTCTTTCAAAAATCTGTATGTGTTAAGATTGTTGATATGGTTGTGCCAACAAAATTATTGCACATTTGGCAATTGAAATTCGTTGGATTTCAACAAGTTTATTCAAAATTAGTGACCATGGGGTGGAAAGAAAATCTCAAAGAGACATGTTTGAATACCTTTACCATATTTAACTATATTTTTTTTTCTTTAGTTCTTCAAGCTAACTATTTACACATGCTGTAACCATATATAAAGGTTGCAAAAAAATACAAAGCATACACAATAAGCAATCCAAGTACTACGTAATCACTACCAACTATAGATGCATCTGGCTAACTTTTTTGAATGTTGCAATTGGCTAGATACCAAATTCCCAACTTTTCTTCTTTCAACTACTTCCACAATTTGCTAAATACCAAAGTTTAACTTTTTTGAGTGTTGCAAGAACATCTTTCATGTTCATTCTCTCCTCGGATGATTCTGCAGAGCAACTCAAAGCCAATTCCATGATGGATGATACACACTGCAGTACAACTGCAGTGAGGTGTTCGTCCTCTGGCTTAAGCAAGTTAGCATCTATAGCATGAGAGATTGCATTTGGTAGTGACTCCCTCACCCAACATTTCATCATCATGTCTTCAAAAAACATTTCATTAGTGGGCTTCACTCTTGTGAATGTTTCCATAAGCAAGATTCCATAACTATAAACATCACAGCTTGTGGATACTAATCCTTCCAATCCAAACTCTACATACAATCAAAAGAAATATCAAGTTGTCAAGAACATAATAGAATTTTGGTGGTGGCAAGTTGGTATGTGTCGGTGGTTGGATTCGTGGCATGCTAGAGGGTGGCAGTATTGGAGGGGTATGCAATGGTGGCTACTGTTGGATGGGTGAGTTGTTTTGGGAGAGAAGGGTATGTAGTGGCGGTCGTGTGGAAAAAAAGAGTAATTTTGTTATTTGGTATTATTGTCAAATTTGACAAATTAAAAATGTAATGTGTAAAGGCAAAATAGTAATTTACTTATTGAAGTTAACATTGTTAATTTTTCTATTAATGAAAGGGAGGTCGATATAATTATGTTGAAATTACGAAATTTATTTTATTTTATCATTATTCAATGGAGATTGGTGTAATTTACCATTTAGAGAATTAGCTCGTTGTCAACAAAATCATAAAAATTTCTATGAAAATTATATTTAAAATTTTGTGTTATAATATGAAAGGTGCGTTTCTATATAAATTGGAAACGTATATAAAAAAAACACAAAAATGTGAAAATATAAATTAAAATTTAGAAGTCACTTGGTGCAATATATCCAAATGTTGCTATGGTCTTTGTATGTGTGACACTCTCCCCCAAATCTAATAACTTCGCAATGCCAAAATCACTCACATATGCAACCATATCATCATCTAGCAGGATGTTGCTAGGTTTCAAATCACAGTGAACCAAAGGCATTGAATAATCATGGTGAAGATACTCCAAAGCACATGCAACATCTATCATTATGTCTAATCTCTGCAACATATCTAAGAAATAGTTGTAAGAATACAACCACTTTTCAAGACTCCCATTAGGCATATACTCAAGTACTAGAGCTTTGAAATCAAGGTTCGAGCAACTGCTAATGACCTTAGTAAGATTGCGATGACGAATGTGTCGCATTATCTCGCATTCTACTTCAAAACTCTTGAATGCACCTTCTACTTGCAAGTTGAATACCTTTATATCCAAAACAGTGGTATCTTGAAGGATAGCTTTGTAGACAGAACCAAAACTCCCCATGCCAAGCAAGTTGCTCTCACTAAACCCGTTAGTTGCTTGGAAAAGCTGTTGGTATGTGATTCTTGGAGGTGTTATTGTTGGCAAGAGATCAACACTAGATGGAGTTTTGTTTCTTCTTCGACATTTTATGAACAAGAACACAAAGGTCGTAGCAAGCAGTATGGATGCAATAGGTAACAAAATATATAAAACTAGAGCTACTCTTTTTTCCCTCAGATGATGAAAGGAACTAGTATGGCATGGCGAGACTTGAAACTTTGGTGCACCACATAATGCTTCATTCGACATGAAAGATTGAATGGTGAAGTTTGCAAAAGGTCCCCCATTTGGAATTTGTCCACTTAACTTATTGAAAGAAACATTGAGATATGAAAGATGAGACAGTGTCTCTAAGGATTTGGGGATCACATCGAAGAGGTCATTATAGGATAGATCTAAGAATTCCAAGCTCACCATGCTACCAAATGAGTCAGGTATAGATCCTTGTAACTTGTTGTGCGCCAATGAAAGAGTAACCAAGTTTTGCAAACCTATAATTGTACTTGGGATTTTGCCTGTGAATTGGTTCATTGAAAAATCTATTAGTGCTACAACTTTGAAACTCCCAAGTTCTGGTGGCAGATAATTTTGAGGGCATTACAGGTATAGATCCTTGTAACTTGTTGTGCGCCAATGAAAGAGTAACCAAGTTTTGCAAACCTATAATTGTACTTGGGATTTTGCCTGTGAATTGGTTCATTGAAAAATCTATTAGTGCTACAACTTTGAAACTCCCAAGTTCTGGTGGCAGATTGCCATTTAAAGAATTCGAGGACATGTTAATTTCCAAGATATCTTTAAGATTGCCCAACCTTGTAGGTATGACGAAAGTTAGTTTGTTGGAATTGAGGTAGAGATATCTTAGAGATGTAATATTCCCTAAGCATTCAGGAATCAATCCAAAAAGTTCATTTTGGTTCAATCGTAGATCACCCATGTTCATGAGTTGGCATATATCATCTGGAATGGACCCTTGCAGTCTGTTGCTGGAAAGATCCAATATTTGAAGCTTTCCCAATGCTTTAATTGTTGAGAGAATGAATCCGGTCAAACCATTTTGTTGCAGATTCAAGAATGCCAAATTGCTTATATTACCAATTTCACTAGGAATGTTGCCTTTGATTCCACAAGAATATGCGTAAAATTTCTCAAGGGAAGCAGAGAGATTTCCAATAGTTGTCGGAAGAATGCCGTCCAGAGGATTATGATTTACTGACAATACTTTTAAATCTTTGAAATTTACCAAGGAAGTGAGAAAGACCAATTCTGGAGAGGAAGAAGATGACCCACTCGTCAAATTGTTTGTTTGCAAGTCGAGAAATTGGAGTAGTCGTAAATTGCCAAGCGATTTAGGAATTGAACCCGTAAATGCATTGTAACCAAGGTCTAAATCAGTGAGTTTAGAAGCATTTGAGATTGACTCGGGAATAATTCCAGTGAGTTTATTTTCTCCAAGATAGAGGATACTAAGATTGGGTAGCCAAAGCTTTATACTTGATGGAAGATTGCTTGACAAGTTATTTTCTGTAAGCGACATAATCTGAAGTGATGAGATATTAAAAATTGATGTTGGAATGGCACCCATTAAGTTGTTAGCAGAAAGTACAAGCTCTCTCACATTTGGAAGCTCACCAATCTCTTCTGGTATCAGACCTACCAAAATATATAAACACAAAAACTTGAAGAAGAAAAAAAAATCAATGGAAACCAATTTTTTAACGCAAAAACAAAACAAAACAAAATTAAAAAAAAATTTCGATAAAAAAAATATTAATTAAGGCATTCACCTTGGTAAATAGCATCAAGACAAAATATTCTAATTTGCACAATTGACATCATCTCTTTTTTCTTTCTCTTGGTGGAGTTATACCTACTGCTAATGATTGCATTCATATAACTCGTCTTTTACATTGTAGAAGTACCTATTAATATTTTCCATGTACTATATGGCCAAATTAGAAGACCATACATAGATGAGAAATCTTTTGATTCCTACTTGACAATTCAAGATGCCCAAATATTATGGGAGGAACATGTAATTCAATGTTCAATTTTGTAACATATAACTATGACAAGAAGTTATAAAGGGTGCAAGATGAAAAATAAGGATAAATTACACTAATATTTCCTTATGTTTAAAGAAAATATAGCAAATTTATAGTTTTGGCATAAATACATTGAATTCTTTTTTAATAAAATTAAAGAAATCAAAACTAATGCAGATGGTGTAAAGATACAAGAATCATTAAGGTAAAATAAATATTTCTAAGTAAAAGAGATGACAATATGTCTATATAATTACTAATAAAAAAGGGGTTAAGTGTTATATAATCCTAAAGGGATCCTAGTTAATTATATCGAACTTATAGGTTTTTTTTTTTTTTTTTCAAATCTTAGATGAGGTCAGTGTAATTTATCCAAAAACAATTCCACTCATGTAATATATCCCAAAAATAGAAGAAGAAGAAGAAGAAGAAGAAGAAGAAGAAGAAGAAGAAGAAGAAGAAGAAGAAGAAGAAGAAGGAGAGAACAATAAAAAAAAACAAAAAATAAAAAATAAAAGAAGAAGAAAAACTCTAATCAAAATATACCCTATCGGTTTCAATTTTACAATTTTTTTTTTGGTAAATTATACTTACACCCCTTGAGATTTAGTTTTAATAGATATCACCCCTTGACGTTTGGAAAATTACACTAATCCCCCTGTCATTGTAATTATTTAGACAAAATGAAGCTATTGAACTCATGCACACTCTATTTTCTTGTTTTGCTTTACTTTCTCTCTTTTTTTTTTTTTTTCCCTTTTTCGTTAAATTTTTTTTTAGAGTAATGATTCATCCCCCCTTTTCCCCCACCCCCTTTGACCCCCTCTCTCTCTCATTGGTTACCTTTTCTTTTTCTTTTTCTTTTTTTTCCTGCTCCACCAATCACCCCCTGCCACGTGAAATAAAAAAATTTGCACCACACTATTAGATACCAAGTCATGTACTCACATATATAACTAGTATATGAACCCAAGCATCAATTAAAAATAATTTTAAAAATTAAATAATAATAGAAAATTTGTTTAAAATATATAGAAAAAGGAATTTAGAATAGACTAAATTTTAACTATTTTCATTCAAGTTGCACCTAAGAGTAGTTAAAAAAAAAAATTAAGAAATTTTATTAATATCTTGAAGCTTATAAAATCTTTCAAATAAGAGTGATTTTTACTTAATATATAATACAAATTAGGAGAATTAGGATTTAGTTAATCGTAAAATGAGAAAAGAGTTGATCATCATGAATGAAAATATTATGGAGGGAAAAAGACTTAAACTGACATAGAATAAGAATAGTAAACAAATATATGAATTTTTTTAAATCATTTGAGTATATAACATTTGATAGAGCATAATGGAAAAAAAAATTCACATAGTCGATCTCAATTGATTGGGACACATGACTTGGGTCTTGTTTGGCATGTTCTAAAATAACACATGCTATTTTAGGACATTATCTTATTTGGGTCACATCACATCTTATTTTGTTCACATTATCTCTCTACCACATCATGACTTCAACCCCAATCCATGTTTCACATTTTTCATAAAAAGTTAAAAAGTATATCAATTTAGCACTTCCTAAACAACCTCTTAGTTTGATTTATTCATAATTATAATGTTATTATGTTTCTATGATTAAAGAAAAATGATATATAAATCCAATTTTTAGACTTACTTTGATGATGGGATTGCGTTATTTATTTTATTTTCCTCTATCATATTTTGGATTATTTTTTGCTCTCTTATGTTGGTTTGGAGATGGTATAAGAGACAAGACTTGTACTATGAATGGTTGACTTATGCTATGGATGGATGGAAAATAGGATGGTACACATATGTAAGTTGTAATATTTGTAAGTTTGATTATTATAAATGGTATAATTCAATAGTATGGGAGTTGTTAAAAATAAAAAATAAAAAATAAAAAAAATAATTATAACTGAACATCACATAAGGTATAACTAAATAACTCTTCGATTATAATTTAAATTTTATCATAACTAACATCACAATGTGTCATAATTAATAACACAATAAGTCATAACCATTGACTCAAAAATCGTAACCAAAAAGGTACATCGTACACACCCTAAAAGGGGTATGCGCCATATAATTTCCCTAGAGGACTCGAGATAGATAATTATATGCCTTGCACAAATGAGTTGGTAATCAATGCATATAAGTTTGCAGGGAAATCGTATTGTACACACCCTATCACAGCTTAGCATAATTTTATCATAAAATTTTATCATATCAATTACAAAATGCGTAATCTCACCACAAATTAGCTTAACAAAAGATATTGTAACTTAGTCACAAACTTTTTTTACACGAACTACAAAATTTTGTACATTTTGTTACGCTAATTTGTGTTGAGATTACACATTTTGTAATTGATGTTATGAAATTTTGTGAAAAAACTATACCATTTGTTGTAAAATGCATTTGGTACACACCCTACACCATAGGATTTCCTAAGTTTGCAATGCATAGATATAGCTTGGAAATCATATGATGTATTGCTATAACAACCCAACTTGTTCGGGTGGCGTGAGAGGTTGTTCAAACCCAAGCTCAAATTGTGTTGAGAGCTGTCCAAGTCCAGATTGTAACCCAATGTTGTCTTCCCAAGTCCAACCCAAATTAAACCTGAATTGTCCAAATTGCACATAAATTTTAGTTGTATTATTTATTTTATTTTTCTAGTGCATCTATGTTTTTTAATTTGTTAAAATTAGACTCTAGTTACATTTGTTTTATAAAGGGATATTTACCAATAAATCCTATCTCATAAACAAGTACTCCAATTAGTCCTAATTTTTTTTTATTGATCTGTTAAGTCCTATTAGTGGAGGGTTTTGTTTGGTGAGATCCTATTTTCGATTTTAATAGTGTTTTGGTACACGGCTATAC